ATAATATTAAGTTTGTGATTTAAGATTTAAACAAATTGGTTACCTTTTTATTGTAAAGGTTTTACCAAGCTAGTTAAAACATATTTAACAAAAAAACTAAGGGACTTCCACAAAAACCTTGTATTTTGTGGTAAATACTGTGATCAAAATGAGAGGACACATTGAATTACTGGAATTTTACACTTATACACACTCTTTACACTTTTCTAACCCCACCCCCCAAAATCAGAAGCTGATCTGGGATCAGTTTATCATACAGAACGCGTCTGTCAGTCAGCATACACTGATTCAAAGGTTGCAACGATCGATGCACAGCTTTAATGTAAAGAAAGTGAATGCAAATGTTTTTATATTTATTTTAATGTACCTTTAACCGAAAGCTCAATTCTCTTGATCAGCTCTTGCCATTATATCACACTTAAGATCGGCTGTGTTGATGGTACTTTCACTTTTCACAGAAAGATTAAACACACAGAGGAAATATGGGAAAATTAAGGCACCATTTACACTAATGCATTTTTGTTTTGAAATGCATAAGTTTTGCTACATTTACACCATCCGTCCACACTACAGCGGATTTTTTGAGCGTCGAAAATGGATCGTTTTGGAAACGCTGAAGAGGCCGTTTTAGTTTGAAAATGCTGCTGCTTCTTGTCAGTGTGGATGGGGGTAAACAAAGACATCACAGAGGTGGGGTTGCAGACATTCGCCAACATCTAATTGATGGCTTTTTCCTCAATATTAAGTAGCCTATACACACAGTTTAGTTTTGCATCTTTTCCTTGTCTGACTTCGCAAGTTTGATATGAAAAACTAACTCCAGAGCACACATCGGTTAAATCTTCAAAGGGATCAGTGTACTTTCTACCCTTATTCACATCACCCTGGATGCGTTCTTTCACTATCTTAACAATAAAATGAAAACATGATATAAGCAACTGCCTTTCATTTTGATATTAGCAACTTAACAGACAGCAGAAATGTTGAGGCGTCATGTAGCCACATGTTTATATGGCCGTCATCTTCACTGTATGCATATTTATGACAAAACAGAGAATATAACATAACTGCCTCCTTTAATTCTCATTGAAAATACGAAACATACCCTCTCTTTCACTAAATATCGCTTTTAATAATCAATAATGGCCATTATAAAAGTATAATGTGCAACAAGTTTATACAATATAGGAAATAAAGGCAAGCAATCAGTCAATATACAGAATCACTGTCCGCGATTACATTAATTAATAGGTTAACCTAACTTAGCTTTGTGCTCTGCCAAACATGTTATCTGAGAACAAGTAATAGATTCAAAAGACCAAAGTCGGGAAATTTGTCATTAAATATAGAAAACAAGATGAATTAAACATCATGTTTAACAAATATAGTGAGATTAGATTCAGCGGTAGATCCTTGCTGAACAGTGCACAGCTCCCATGTGGGTAGATGTGCTCAAAGCAAGCTGCAGTGCATGCCAGAGTGTGTGTGTGTGTGTGGGGTCACGTGATATGGGTTTTCAGTGGCGTGGTGTAGACAGAGAGTTGTTTAGAAATGCTGGGTGAAATGCCAGTGTGGACGCGGATTGTTTTCATTCTAAAACACTGTTTTAAATTAAAATGTTTTAGTGTAAATGGGGCCTAAACGGCAGCAGGCAAAAACTGGAGAGTTGACAAGTGTCAATCTACTGGTTAATGGTGTTATCAATCATCGTCCAGATACAGCAAAATAATCATCTTTATCGTAACATTACCTGTCTTTGCCACGTTTTTCTTCCTCTTCTATAATTTTTTTTTGCATCCCCTGTGCATTAGACAGTTTGGGACATCCCTTAGAAATTTATAGTAAGTATAGGCCCTTGTTTTGAAGGACTTGAGCCCATCTCTGACCAGGATAAGAGTGTCCTGCATGAAAACTGACACCTTTTTCTAATACACACTTTGAGTTCAGTCTTTCCCCTGTTTGACTATGAGCATAATGTTTCCCATTGGACCCAATTAAATTTAATCTGCTTTCATCACTAAAGGATGGAACTGCTATGATAGAAAGAATATTCCCTTTGGCCTTCATCTGGACAGTCTGCTGTTGAAGGATTTCAGTCACTTTAGAAAGGCTAACCATCTTGCAAAGTCAGTGAAAGCTGGAACATTTGGCTCCCATGCACTTAAAAAGGATTTGTCAGATAATTGAGGAAATTACCACCAGGTGCAGATTAACACCAATAACTGGCAGGTGTCTTCTCTAATGTTGATCAGTGTACTTTTTCAAACAAACATGTTTTTATAAGTGCTTCAGTTTATGCATAACTCATAAAATCACCCCTAAATTCAAATAGGACAAAGAAAGGGGTACAAATACAAAAAAATTGTACGTTGTTCTTTAGTTTAATCCTCACTATATATAGATAACATTTTTCATTGTTGTTGTTTTATAACTCACTTTTATTGAATGTTGAGGCAATAAACCTACATTTTGTCTTGTGTTTAGGACTTGCATCAGCTTTATATTGCTTTATGAAATCTTAGATTTTGTGAGCATTAATCACTACCACCGTCAAACTGTGTACTAGTAGGATGTACTTGCCTCCTCTTCCAGATTATGAGCTCATCAATAATGTGCTGAGATGGCATGACAGAGCACTTTCGGTTATATATATAGCTACTAAACAAATAGATTCATATATATATATATATATATATATATATATATATATATATATATATATATATATATATATATATATAGGCAAATACATAAAATATGACTAAAAATTAAAACAATATCTACAGTAACCATTTACATAGATACTTATTCAAAAATAACTCTATACTGAGTAATGTAATCTGATATTTAGGGACAGAGCACCTATGGTAAGTAGGCCCTGTTGAAATTGCTCTGTTTATTATTCTCTAGAACACAGGTGTCAAACTCAGTTCCAAAAGGGCCGCAGCTCTGAACAGTTTAGTTCCAACGCCAATTAAACACAATCAAATCAAACTAATTGAGTCCTTCAGGCTTGTTTGAAACCTACAGGTAAGTGTGTTGGAGCAGGGTTGGAACTAAACTGTGCAGGGCTTCAGCCCTCCAGGAATTGAGTTTGACACCCCTGCTCTAGAACATCAGTCTTATGCCGCAGTCACACTAGTTTGTGCATGTGAAATTCTGTTGCACGACGCTACAAAAATAGACGGTATTAAACAAGATGATTAGACATAAAAAAAAAAGCTAGAGATTGGTTTCATGTTTTGATCTTTGATTGGTTTCATGCAATCATGTAATGCGATTTCGCAGGTCAGAGTTCACCAAGCTTAAATGTTCTAACAACAGCGAACTGTGAAACCTGTCGCTGGAGCTTGTGTTTCCGGTCTGACACGTTCGTGTGTGTATTAAAGAGCCCCTATTATGGATTTTTTAAAATGACCTTCCATGAAGTGTGTAACAGCTCTAAGTGAAGTGAAATATCCAGCTAAGGCTTAAATCTGATAGTGCACAGTGTTTAAAACTATTGATCAATTTATAAAAGAGTCCATTCATAATGGATATTATTATGAGATCAGGGGTGTCAAACTCAATTCCTGGAGGGCCGAAGCCCTGCACAGTTTAGTTCCAACCCTGCTCCAACACACCTGTACTGTAGGTTTCAAACAAGCCTGAAGGACTCAATTAGTTTGATCAGGTGTGTTTAATTAGGGTTGGAACTAAACTCTGTAAAGAGCTGCGGCCCTTTTGGATCTGAGTTTGACACCTGTGCTTTAGATGAATCATCTTGATAAAGAGTCTTTAGCCTTTTCGGCGTGACATCAATACAAAACTTAAGCCCCACCCAATTGCTGTGCGTGCAAACCTGGGAAAATTGAAACCTGCGGCCCCGCCCACAAGCACTTCAGCCTATACTGGTTGAATAAAGTTGTGAAGACACTGTGCAGAACCGAGTTTGGGCACCGATGATCTAGAGCAGGGGTGTCCACACTCGGTCCTGGAGGGCCGGTGTCCTGCAAAATTTGGTTCCAACCCAAATCAGACACACCTGGTTTAGCTAATCAAGCTCTTACTACGCCAGAAGTGCCCAAACTCGCTCATGGAGGGCCAGTGTCCTGCATATTTTAGTTCCAACCCCAATTAAACACACCTGAACCAGCTAATTAAGCTCCTTCTAGGTATAAAAAGGCTGTGTCCGAAATTTGAAGGCTACATTTGAATTTAAACATACTACTCAGACGTTAGAAAAGCACCTTCTATACAGTATGAGTGTGAAAAGTATCAATGGAATTCGGACGTACTACATCCACCAGCGTCAGTTGCATTGCTTCACTCCCATTTGTGAATTCTCTCACGAGGGCATCATGAGATAGCGCAGATTGGATGGGAAATTTGCTTGAAGCAGTAGGTCATTCGGATATACTGATTTCAAATTCTATGAATTTGAACATACTACTCGGCTCGCATACTGATTTTAGCCTACTTTATAGTATGGAAGAATGCATTTTCGGACGCAGCGTAAAACTTCCAGGCAAGTGTGATTAAGGAAGTTGGAGCTAAACTATGCAGGACATCTGTCCTCCAGGACCGAGTTTGGACACCCCTGTACTAGGCTTTTTAGAAACATCCTCGCAAGTGTGTTGAAGTAAGCTGAAGATAAATCTACAGGACACCGACCCTCCAGGGCCGAGTTTGAACACCTTTGATCTAGAGTGTGTGGTGGATTGACAAGGTTCTCCAACTGGACGCCAAACAATGTGCAATCTGCCTGTATATTCAGATGTTCAATGACAATTCTCTCCTGAAGACATCTACATGCCAATATTAAGCCACAGTCATAGCGCCACCTGCTGACACAAGGATTTTATATGTATCAGCCTAAATTATTCTTGTCCACTGTTCTCTGTCATCCTAAGGCCCCAGGCGGCGGTAAGCCTGGGTGCCTTATAATGCTGCTTGCAGCTTTAATTCTGGATTTATATTTGCTAAAAAAGCATTAAGTTAACAAAAAACACTCATTCTAATATGATTCAACACTGAAGATTCATCTTTATTGAAAAAATAAAAAAATGAACTAAATTAAAAGAAAAACTATTTCAATAGGGAGGGCAATAATGCAGTTTCTCACATACAAGGATGAACAAAATTGTCATTTTTCGTTTTTGAAATTGCACATTAAAGTACGTCAAGGGGGCTGTCAAACAGAACCAAGAAATTTCAGTTGTGCTCGTGTTCAACCCTCTTGCACATGTAGTTCCGCATTCTGTCCGAACAGATCTTGCAATATATTTCTCTCTTCAGTAATAAATTCGTCAAGTCACATTGTGAAATAATGACAGCATAAAGTACCATACATTGCAATTACTGTGCAAAAACATAATTTAATATACTTAAGCACTAGTGTACAAAATATGGTCCAGCTTAAATGAAACATTTCCCACACCGTTTCAACTGAAAGTGAACATTAACAGGTGAAGAACAATTTCTGTATCTGTTGATATGGCCTGGATGTGATTGAGTCTGCAGTTTTATAGATCACCTAGTAATATGGCATCACTTTTGTTGCATGTAAAAATAAATGGATAAAACTACATGCATACACAAAGCTTAAAAAAGTGAATAAACATATTGTAACATGCTATGTCACAAAATAAAAAAATAACCTCTTACTTTTAAAGGGGTTGTTCACTCAAAATTAAAACTGAGGCATCATTTACTCTTCTGTTTATTTCTTCTCATGAATGCTGATCTCTTCTGAATAAACATTGACCTCAACCGTAGGAAACAAAACACTTTGAAATTCAGCAGTCAGCAACATTCTTACCAAAATACCATTTCTTCATTTTCCATTAAAACATTTTTGACAACAGCATTTAAAATCGAAATCTCCCATCCAGTAATATTGTCAATATGATCCACGATTACAGACTGGTACGGGTGTTTTGGCATATAGCATTTGATTGACATGCCACCACACTGTGCTTTGCTGATGAGGTCAGTGCTTGTAGCCAGAGGAAGATGTTATAAGATCAAGCGAGAGCCTTATCTGTCTGCCCTTATAGCTACTTTCTGCCTCAGGCTAACCTTTAACTTTGCTTTCTCTTACCAGGAGATATTTTATTTTATTTTGTCCTTGAGTTATGGCTGGCATGGTGGACACAACCTGCGATGGTGGACAAATGCAACATTAAATGCGAAGAGGGATTTAAAAGTAAACTACAGCGGTCAGGTCTTAAATAAATTCTCGTGAATGAACAACAGCCTGTAAGAAAAGAAAATCTGATATAAGGCTGCCATTGAGCATTTCTCATAAGATGGTCAATAAAGATGATCTATAAAACTCAGACCACTCAAGTTGTTTTAGGTCAGTATTTGAATTGAAATCATCAGATTCATGTCAATTACATTTTAGTGGGGCTTTTCTATAAAATGTTCTAGGTTTCATTAATTGTCATGGGTTGATTCTGCAAAACAATACCATCAACATGCACAAATGTGTGAATCGGGGGTCAGAAAAGAAAAGAAAAGAAAAAAAACATTGTAAACAAAGAAACAGTTTCACAAAAGATTCATTGTTAATTTTTCTTTCTTTCCACATTTGGTTGTTAATTCACAGACATATTATGTCCCAATCCAAAGGTAGCATACAGACTGATAGTGACTGCTGCTTCCACCCACTTTCCCAGAAAGCAGCAGACAATCCTATAAGAAAAACAAAAAAACAGAAGCTCCTTGTGTTGGCCGAACCTGCCCTCTAATATCCCATGCAGGAATCTCCTCGGTCCATCCAGAGAGGCGACAACTATCTGTTTGTGCATCTCAGATGGTGTACAGTACAAAGTGTTCTGTTCCGTCAGCTTATCCCAACCAAAATGAATGAGTGAACGTACCGAGGCACAGAAAACAAAGCGCAGATTGCTCCACAAACAGACAGACACACCAAATTCTTCCAATCGATGTCTTGGAGGCAGTGCTTAACTATCAGTTACCTCATGCCTGGATACGATTAGCGTTTAGAAATTTAGTCCAATTGTAATCCACGTTCCACGGTTTTCAAAGGCAGATGGAGCCATATTCCTTGGCAGGGTAGAGGACAGTGACTGGGACGGTGATAGTAAACACAGCTGCTGCAGGTGCAAAACACAAGATTGTGTGTCGGACAAGCTTAGCTTGGCTGGAAATGTGTGAAACGAGTGGAAAAAACTCCTCTTTTTTATATAATTCTTTTTTTTTTTTTTTAAACCACTGAGTATTTAGTCTTTAAGGATGTGGAGCTGATACATTACAAAAGAAAGTTTCTCATTCCCATATTCCTTTTTTGTACTTGGTCACCAGTTTGAATTCATATATTTATATCCATTTATATATATTTATGTATATTTTATACAGTTAAAAACACCATGGAGATGACAGACTATTTGGTTTCTTTTTCTAAGTAGAAGTTCTCCTTAAATAAATGCATATAAATAAATTATCTTTTCACATGTTCCAGACTGTCAACTCTCCCCACACTTCTACCAACAGCAGGTCCTCAGAAATTCGATGGTACAGTAGGTTTCAGTGATATCCCAATTTTGGCAGAGCTTTGTGAAGCCCTAAGACACACGGGACGTTTGTGGTTAGTCCTGTCCGCCGCTTCTCATTGGCCGGGCTTTGTAGCATCTTTGTGTGTGTCTCTTGGGCTCACCAACTGAGTCTCCGTTGGCCCAAAAGAGGCCACTCCCCCTTGTCCACCCCCATTTGCTAAAAGGATGCACACAGTCTCTTTGGCCCCCTGAGGGACGGAGCTACTAAGGTCCTCCTGTTTCCTCTGGGCATGTGCCAGCGTTTGAAGCTGCTCCTGAGCCTCATCCAGTAGCGAAACCACTTCTTCCCGTCTACCAGCCGCTCGGATGGACTGTTGTTGGACAGCTGCAGTATTCGCTGTTCCCTCAAGAGGACTAGAGCGACTGCTTCCATCAGTGGGGGCGGTTTGCATACATGAGACCTCATCCTGGTAGGAGTGGACAGAGGGAATGATTGGGATTGAGCAGGGTCGGTATGGAGCAGGAGGACTTTGGCTTGGACCGCCTGACCGGAGACTCCTAGCACACCTGTGGTCTAAGTGGCTGCTCCAAGATTTTGAGGATTGCGTGGCTTGCATATTATAAAATGAATCCTGATGCAGGTCATTACCTGGGCCAGAGATGTTCCTGCGAAGAGAGAGAGAGAAATGGTGAAATATGTATTTTTGGGGGGTTAAGAACAGGATTGTGTATCGTTTCATGGGATTGTGTTGGTTGGATCTTAAAAAAAGAATGGATATAATTCTGGAAGCTGAATACATTGAGTAATTTGTGTGCCTGAAGCATCAACAAACAGAACTACAAAAATAACAACTGGTTTCAAACCGGTTCATGAACCTTGCCATGTTTGCCAATGGCAAAGTCTTTTTTCAAAGAAAGCCAATTCATTCAGTGACCATATTTGCAGTATAGCTATTCAAGACCATCTCTAATTGAGATCAATCTGCACTCTCAGAGATAAACCTATGAGAGTTGTCCATGTGGAGGTTCCCCTTTTAAAAAAGAACACGTTTGTACTTTTTAGGTACTGAGATGTACCTTTAAGAATGTGGACCCTACCGGGACAAATGTGTACCTTCTGACAAGCTAGTGACAGCTTCCAGTGACAGCACTCCTACCTTTATTTCTAAGAGTGAGCATTACAGTTCTCTAAATTCTAAAGGGAAGATTTACCCAAAATAATAAGTTACTTTCCCTAAAGCCATCAAAGATGTAGATGACTTTTTTCTTCTGAATATTTAAGCTCATACCTGGGTCTTTGGTGATTCATAAAATTCAAATCAACAGCTACATGTGAGCTTCATCAGACCACCATATCCTTGAGTCATGTGTATTAATTATTTTTAACTAAGATTTAAAAAACCCACCAAGGGTCACACAATTTGGATAAAACTCTTCCCTAATATTCTACTGAAGAAAAAAATCACTTGTTGTTAATTTTTGATGGCTTAAGGGAAAGAAACTTTGGGAAAGTAACAGTGAACAGGTAGGTAGGTAGGTTGATCGCGTGTCCTACAATGACGCCCAGAGACAAAGAGTGTACCTCCATTCTCTGTAATATTTTGGTAGAGAGATAGGATCATCCTGTTCAACCTTGGAGTGAGGAGAGGGATATAGGATTGTGAATGAAAAGCGAGGAAATATAGGGAGAAAGGGAGGGTGAGTTTGAAAGAACGAGAAGAACAGTGGTATAGGGCTGGTCTGCCTGAAAAGATATTTAGGGAGTAGGTGATTGGAAAAGGAGACAAAATGAGGTATAGATCTGCGCGTGACTAAATTTTGAATCCCGCTCCTGCCAGCTCCTGCCAGGTTTTAGCCCGAACCCGACCACTTTTGCTTATATTCAGCATTTGTTGTCTCGCTGCCTGACTAGCCCTGTTTTCAACCCGCCGCGCCCATTACCGCCAACGGACGGGGGAGAACGTAACCGAAAACCCAGCTATACAGAGTCCAGACAGCCTATAACAAGCTTTCTGTATAAACACACACACACACACACACACACACACACACACACACACACACGCAAACAGCAACAAACTAGCTAAACGCAGCATCACGCTGACTCATGCAGACCTCTAAAGCAGACCTCTAAAGTGAGGCATGATTCTGCCGCCGAACCTTTGTTAACAAGTTAGCTCCATAACAATAATGTACTGCATTTCAACATGCATATAAATAACTCATCATAATAAACATTTATTTGCCTTTATTGCAGAGATTATACTGTAGATTATCTGACATAAAACTCAAAGGAAGTTTTTCAACCCAGGCTCATTCAAAAGTATTTTCAAAAGCACCAATTGACCCTCCCAACCACTTCCCTAAACCCAACTGACAGTTTAAAAAAGCAATCCAGAAAAAGAAAATACAGATTTTTACCAAGTTTTCAGATTTTTACCACATTCTTAGCCTGTTATTTACTGGTTTACTTTGTTTTTTGGGTCTGTTTTTGTCTCATCCACTTTCTGGAATCTTAAACCCCATCGTTGTGATTAAGTCCTCACTGCATCTCAAGTTCGCAGACGTCCATGGCGAGCTAACTGGACAAACTGGTAACAGAGGAAAAGCCATCCATATGGAGGTAAGTGCGAAAAGGAACAGTGCCATTCTGCCTTGTAGCATTCGTTTTTAAGACAAAATGCAGCCATACATACTTCTGGCTACATAATTCACAATGCCCAGAAATGTAAATAGGACTAAGTTTTTCCGAATGAGCTTATGTTGAAGTTTTTTCTCCCCCTATGTTGATACCCTCACATGTTGATGGAACAAACTAACAAAAACTACTCATTCATGTATCTCAGATTATTAGCTATTCATCATTTGTTCGGCCTGGCTGGTAGCCCAGTGTTTTCTCTGACACATAATCATGCAGTTCAGCTGGGCTTTAGCTGATTTCCTGATTCAAAACTTGCTGTTCCCTATGGCAGTCATTCTTAAGTTAATCTTCTGACAATTTGCATGCAAAATTCTTTTAAAGGGGATGAAAGCACAATTTCCATCTGACCAGACCTTTGGTAAACTAATCTCTCAATTTAGGAGCAATCGGCATTGTTCCCCTGATTCATTATCTTTGTGTAATAATTCATAATCCCTGACAAAGAATGGCTTCTCTCATAGCATCAATATTTAACCAAGCACTGCTTTTTCTGATAACGCCCGAGTCAGAGCTAAGCCTCAATCAAGAGGAGGAAAATTGTCTGATTCTATTTTCTACAAAAACTGAAGATATGACAAAAATGTCGAGTGTTTCAGCAGGCTGTGCATTATCCATCCTAAGATATCAAGACTGAAACAGTTAAAGAGGCATGGATTTAGCCAGAGTTTGAGAGATTTTGCTTAAGATTAGAGAGCATAAATCAGTTTAATTCGATCATTTACTGCAATCCTCAAAGTCAACAACAAAAAGAGAGCTCTCTTCAACAAGACTAAAAATGTGATTTTAATGAAGCACACTCTCTGCTGAGGATCTCCTGCTGAGCACATCTCTAGTGACCCTCTCTCCATTTCTCCACTAGCCATACAAACTGTATCTAAACCTTTGACTACATGACAAAAGGTCTCATCCACACTGTAGCTCGTTCTGGAACAAACTGACTGTGATTTAGTGGTGCACATTTCTAAATAAATGCAACAAACCATAACAGGAAAATTATCCTTTAGACTATGGAACAAACTAGGTATTGACGATAATGGAAAAATCTAGAGATATTTTTTTATTTTGCGATATGAACACAATTTCACCATAATATCTATATTTGGAAATAATTGATAAAGTGAGATTGATTGGGATAATTCTGCAGAGAGAGAGTGCATCTCCATAATAAAATTTAATAAACAGTCTATAAACTTTTTAGAGTCCCCTGACATTTTTTTAATGTGGTCTGCTATTTGAGAGTATTTTCATGCATAATAATCTATACGTTACATACAATGAAGAATACACTTTAATATATATTCTCATTGTTTATTTTGTATACATTTAAAATAGTCTGTATAGTTTTCTCATTTAATTGTCATTCTTCCCAAGGGGTTTGTGGGTGGGTGTGGGTACTTAACATTGGTTCTAGTTTCACTTAGGCTTAAAAAACAAAAAACAAAAATGCAGACATTGTGCTGTTCTCTGTTGCGTTTTCTGTATTTTACCTGTATGTGCAATAATGTGTGTATATATACATATAGTTAGGTCCATAAATATTTGGATATCGACACAATTTTAACATTTTTTGATCTAATCACCAACACAATAGATTTGAAATGTAACAAACAAGATGTGCTTAAACAGCAGACTGTTAGCTTTTGGAGTCTGGAGTTTACATCCAAATCAGGTGAATGCTGTAGTTTGCATATGGGCCTCCCACTTGTAAAGGGACCAAAAGTAACTGGACAAAATAAAAATCATTAAAAAAACTTTCACTTTTTAATACTTGGTTGCAAATCCTTTGCAGTCAATTACAGCCTGAGGTCTGGAACACATAGACATTTGCTGTACAAATATACACACACAGTTATATACACAGTTATATTAGCCCCCACCTGTTTATTTTTTTCCACAATTTCTGTTTAACGGAGAGCAGATTTTTTCCAACACATTTATAAACAATAGTTTTAGTAACTCATTTCTAATAACTAATTTTTTTTATCTTTGTCATGATGACACTAAATCAGTTTACTAGATATTTTTCAAGACACTTCTATACAGCTTAAAGTGACATTTAAAGGATTAACTGGGTTAATTAGGTTATAGGCAGGTTAGGGAAATTAAGCAAGTTATTGTACAACAATGGTTTGTTCGGTAGACTATTGGAAAAAATCTAGCTTAAAGGGGCTACTAATTTTGACCTTAAAATGGTTTTTAAAAATCAAAAACTGCTTATATTCCAGCCGAAATAAAACAAATAAGGCTTTCTTCAGAAGAAAAATATATATATTATCAGACATACTGTGAAAATTTCCTTGTTGAAAGTTTTACAATTCTGACTTCAACTGTATATTTATTACATTATAACCCTGATAACAAAGCAAAACATCTGGGTCTATTGCAGATATCTAACATTCTACTGAGTGCCTAAAATAAAACTGAATTTATTCAAAGTTCACTCAGTGGCCATATCTGCAAGGCAGCCATTTCAGGCATGCAAGACCAAGTGTTGGTAGCCAATCCAGCCTGCAATATGAATTTGGACCAATGCTAAGCACGTATTTCTGCTGGTGCATTTAAGTCCTCCTGGGAACTATGTAATTATAATTTCACAGGTCATAATTATGACGCATGTTGAAATATGTTCCCTGCATACAATTCCACTAGATTTTTTTTCCCCAACAACCGAATATTATATTGTTCTGTATCATACAATTCTCAACAATAATAATTGTTTGATTTCTAGATGTAACCGTTTAATTGAGAATGACAGTATAAATGGGCTTACTCAAATTCATGAAGGCATTCGTGTGTGTGAAAAAACACCCTATTATTTCTTCCTCAAAACAACAAACAAAGAATTCTGCCTTTAGCCGCAGTCAGCCAATCAGATTAAAGTGTGCCAGATTGAAAGAGAGACGGTTGGCAGTCTGCTTACATAAGTGCATCTAACACTCACTCAAGAAAAAATAATTTCCTGCCA